CCCCATGAACCACAGCACGCCAAAGCCTCCCTGTCCATCACCAACTCCCGGAGTTTACCCAAACTCATGTTCATTGAGTTGGTGATGCCATCCAACCATCTCATCCTCTGTTGTCCCCTTCTCCTTCTGCCCTCAATCTTTCCCAGCATCAGGGCCTTTTCAAATGAGTCAGTTCTTCACATCAGGTGGCCAAAGGATTGGAGTTTCAGCTTCAGCATCAGTCCTTCCAATGAACACCCAGGACTGATCTCCTTTAGGATGGACTGGTTGGATCTCCTTGCAGTCCAAGGGACTCTCAAGAATCCAACACCACAGTTAAAAAGCATCACTTCTTCTGCACTCAGCTTTCTTTCTAGTCCAACTCTCACATCCATACACGACCACTGGAAAAACCATAGCCTTGACTAGATGGACCTTTGTTGACAAAGTAACGTCTCTGCTTTTTAATATGCTGTCTAAGTTGGTCATAACTTTCCTTCCAAGGAGTGTCTTTTAATTTCATGGCTGCAGTCACCACCTGCAGTGATTTTGGAGCTCAGTGTCACCAGATGGTAATTCTAAAGTCCATCAGGGTTTGCTCCCAACCAGTGGAACAAGCTCCAGCCCAGGTGTCATTCCAGAGTCAACATCATCACTGGGTCTGGGGGCATTGCGGCTGATGGGGGATCGTCCAGTCAATGGGACTGTGTCCTCGAAAGACTGCTGTTGTCCCCCTAGGGCAGGGTCTTCTGAGCAGCCAAGGACCTGTGACTGACCTGTGCCCTTTTTCTCTTCACGACACAGTCAACACCAGTCACCATTCGTCCTCCTTCAAGTCCAAGTCCTCCAGCAACGTGACCTCCACCAGCGGTCACTCTTCAGGGAGCTCGTCTGGAGCGATTGCCTACCGGCAGCAGCGGCCAGGACCACACTTCCAGCAGCAGCAGCCTCTCAATCTCAGCCAGGTAAGCACACATACCCCCACCATTCCCCCCCCACCTGCCCCCCTCCTCCCACCAGCGCATCAGGTGCCCTGGGGTAGCAGGAAGTGCCCCGGTGAGCTCTGGTGTTCTCCTGCTGCTGCGGGTCACCTTGGGGAAGGTGGATCCTCAATTCGTGGAGAGCCAATCCAACGCAAAATGACTTGTCTAATGTTCGGAAGCACTTAGTGACGCGGTACCTGCTTAAAAATAGTCTGGCCCACATGTTGCCGTTTCAGCCCAGCAAAGGGTAAAACACTGGGTCCGGGCCCACTTCGGGCCAGAACCCCAGAGACAGACCTGCAGTCCAACCAGGCCAGGCCTCCTGAGTCATTACAGTGAAGGAGGCCTCACACAGGAACCCCAAATCCGGGAAAAGAGCCAGGGGACCTGGGAGACGGTGGGTGATGCTCAGGGGAGTATCAGCCAGGCGGTGTCTCCACAGGCAGCACTCGGCCTGTGTGTCTAGGATCACTGGGGTCTGAATTGCAAAGTGGACTCCAGCCTTGCTTCCTTAGCAGCCGGGAGGTAAGATAAGGCCACGTGTGTGCTGTGACTTAGCTTCTTCGGCTGAGAGAGGGTGGCTTCATTTGTATGTGACTTCAGAAGACAGCGACGTTTCTGAGAGCCTGCTGTTTAGGGAGCAGGACTTCACGATGAAGCAGAAAAGTGGTCCGCACTCAGAGACGGGCCCGTGTGACACTTCACAGCTGCAGGATGGCCCCGGGAGACGCGCTGTCTCCTGCTGCCTCTGCACCTGGTTCTGGCGCTGTGTCACCCGGCCCAGGAAACAGCGGGGCACCGCCTTGCTTCTTGGACAGGCTGACATATTTTTCCCAGCACATGAAGGAGGCGTTTTCTGCGATCCCTGCCCTCCTCCTGACTCTCCTCCCCAGTCCTCACTTCCGCCTTCTCCCCAGTCCCGCCTCCTCTTCCTCACTCTCTGCCCGCTCCCCACCCCCCCGCCAGGCCCCATGCACTTCTGCACATGCGTATGTCCAGCCCCCGCAACGCGGCCCTCCTGGTTCTTCTCCTTCTCCAGGCTCAACAGCACATCGCCGCAGACCGCACCGGGAACCACCGACGGCAGCAGGCCTACATCACTCCCACGATGGCCCAGGCTCCATACTCCTTCCCGCACAACAGCCCCAGCCACGGCACTGTGCACCCCCACCTGGCCGCCGCTGCCGCCGCCGCCCACCTCCCCGCCCAGCCCCACCTCTACACCTACACGGCGCCCGCGGCCCTGGGCTCCACGGGCACCGTGGCCCACCTGGTGGCCTCCCAAGGCTCGGCGCGTCACACCGTGCAGCACACTGCCTACCCGGCCAGCATCGTCCACCAGGTCCCCGTGAGCATGGGTCCCCGGGTCCTGCCCTCACCCACCATCCACCCGAGTCAGTATCCAGCCCAGTTTGCCCACCAGACCTACATCAGCGCCTCTCCAGCCTCCACAGTCTACACTGGATACCCACTGAGCCCGGCCAAGGTCAACCAGTACCCTTACATATAAACACTGGAAGGGGAGGGGACGGGAGGGAGGATGGCCAGAGGGAGAGGAGGAGGGATGGAGAGGGGAGCTGGGGCTTTTGTACTGAAGATGCCGCACAGAAACAATGCAAACGGGCAGGGGTGGGGGGCAGGGGGCAGGGACGGGACACAGATGAAACTTGAACTAGGAAGTAGGAGGACTGAGAGCGGAGGAGAGAACATTTTGAAAAGGAAGGGATTTAAGGAAGGGGGAAAATCTATGCTTTTTATTTTAAAAAAGAAAAAGGAAAAAAAAATAAAAATAAAACATCAGTAACAAAACAAAACAACCACAGCTCACGAACCCGTTCTGCACCAAACTGGAAAGAAGGAGAAGAGCAGCCACGGAAGATTCCCGAAGTAGGGGGAGGGGGGCCTCCGTTTTTGAAGAACTTTATGAACTTTTCAAAGGTTATTTTCCTATGGCAGCAAGTGACGTTTAAGAATTTGCTGTCAGGGACACCTGGTATGGAAATCCAATAGATTTTTAATAATTGAACGTAGGATTAGGGATTTTTCCAGAACACTAAAGGGTCAACAGCCCTCTAGAAAGCTCAGGCCGTGGCCTGAGGAGGCTAGTGCCTGGGGGTTGGGCCAGGGTTGGGGAGCCTGGTTCTGGCCCACTTGCCGGGACCCATGGGAAGGGCGGGCGGCTAGGTTGAAGGAGGACCCTGGGAGAGGGTATGTTTTCTCTTTCTGAGCATTCTGGATAAATCCCTAAGCAATGATATTCCTCAAATGTCATTAATGATGTGTGTTGCAAACTCTCACTTTTTTTTTTTTTTTTGGTCTTTTCTGAAGACATCTTTTCTCTTTGAGTGCATCCCGCATCTCGTAGCGTAGGGCTCGCGGCGTGGCCAGCACCCTGGTAAATGTAGCAATGTGCACCTGTCTGTGCTGCTTCGTGTTCACCCCACTGATACCAATAGACTATCCTCACTGTAATTGCACAAGAAAGGTGATCTCACGCAGGCACGTCCCCCGCGCGGTGGTCCCGGTGCGCCCGCCCGTCCCCGGCACCGCCTCCGGCTCTCGCAGACTTGGTTTTTACATCCTTCCCTCCTAGTGCCTTAGCGACCGGGGACGCGCTTGAGGGTTTACTTCCACGGTACTCCAAGAAGCCGGCTGAGGCGAGTCTCAACCTCTCAGCCCTTCTTCTGTGCTGTTGCAACATTTTACTCTGGTCTTTTCCTTTTTTAAAAAAATTTTTATCTTAATAAGCTGTTGTCTTTCCCCGGGCTGTTTGCTAGCAGAAGAGTGTCAGGGAACTGGCAGGGGCTAGGAGAGCCAGTGGGTGTGGAGGGGGCTGCGGGAGGTGGATGGTGGTGGGTGAGGCTGACGCTGGAGATGGCTCGGCATGGCTTTTCCCTGGTGGACAAAGCAAGAGAAACTGACTCCCCACCCTGCACCCTCCCCCAGTTCTGCCCCCAGCGGGCTAGCTCTGCCGTCTGTGGGACAGCAGGTCCCATCTCAGTTTCAGGAATGTTGGTCTTGCTCCTGACGCAAGGAGCAAAGGAGAGGAGCGGCCTGCGGCCTCCAGGCCCGGCACTGGCTTCGGGTCGGTCGCCCGCCGTCTGCAGGGCGGAGAGCAGGCCTGGTTGCCCCATGTTCTCAGACCCGCCCCACACTCCACTCCGCCAGCCCTGCCCATCTCGCCTCTGCTTCCACCCTCTCACCCCACCAGGCTGTGTTTTGCTCTCAACCATTTTGCCAGATTCCTTTCTCTGTAGACAACCGCCAACCGTCATTTGCTGCTAAATCTTTCCTCGCGTTACCCAGGCCTACCCCAGGCATGCCTTCGTTTCTGGTCTTTGAGGGTTCTGGTGGGCAGAAGGCTGGAGGGACATTCACGAGGGTGAGCCAGTGATCTTGGACCGCCCTTGGGAAAACACGCCCATGGGCAGTCAAGTTTCCTAGGAAGTTTGCCGTCTGCCTTCTGTGCATCGTTGATAACGTTCTGGAAATTTCCTCTGGCTTTGAACACTGGTGGGGGTGGGGGTGGAGAGGTCTCTCTTATCCATAGCAAATTACTGTACACACGAAAACGTTGGGAGGTGCTGTCTGGTCCCAGACGGGATTTTTAACTGTGGTCCTCATTGTTTGACGCTTGATGCGGAGCCCCTGACCCCAAAGCCAAGTTTCCAAGGTGCAGAAGGATCGCTCCCAGTTTCGGACAGGAGTCCGCACCCACCCTCCTTCACTTTCCTTCCCCATCCTGCGGTCTCCCTTAACGATCTACTGTGAAAGGTGTTTTTAATCTTGATATCTGACCTAATTCAGTAACGAAGCCCAGCCCTTACCTTAGCTCTTAGCTGTGAAATGTGAAATAACTCTGGACATATCCCCTCTCCAGGCATCAATTCTACTTATCCTACAAAGAAATTGGTCCCCAGGTTGGAACCAGCTTAGTCCCGGCCTCAGCCCGGAAGGGAGGAAGGACCCCGTGTCCACCGGGGAGTCGCCTGCGGAAGGACCCCGTGTCCACCGGAGAGTTGACTGCGGAAGGACACGATGGTGTCCTCCTGGCGCCACACTCAATGCGTCTTTTATCTGGACGTGGGGCAGTGCCGCCATTCTGAGACAACCGGAAAGTGGTCCATGGGGGTGGGGGCAGGGAATGTGCTGGAGGACACGTGAGCCCGAGCACTCATGAAGCCACGCCTGTCTGCAGACCCATCCCTGTTCTGGCCTTGCAGCATCCAGAGGGCAGCAATGCCCCATCCGAGCCTCCCCGTGCCCAGTCGCACAAGTAATGGCTGCAAACGAGCCAGCGTTTTTGCCTTATTGGGTAGCATACTGGACCCCTGGTACTGTTCTCTTCCAGCGCTTTTTAGATCTGATCTTTTAACAGGAGAAGACAACATAGCCTTCCACTTTAATGAAAATTATTTTGTGTACTTAAGTTGGAAGTTACTCTTTCACCTGACATTTTCTTTCCTTTCCTTCCTGATCAGGAAATGAAAGTTTCATGCTGCTCATAAAGATAATGTTATTGTACTAATTATTTTGGTTATTAACCTTTGTAATTATTATCCTAATCATCATTTTGATATTTTAGTTGGGGTTTTAAAGTGCACATTTATTCCAAGTATCTTTGTGTTTTCTCTTTAATATTTAAATTTATTTTATTATATCTGTGAGTATCTGAGTAGACAGGAGGGACATCCAGATGTCCAGTTTTGTCAGACCAAAAAGAAAAGAAGGAAGGATTCAGGAGTCAGGAAAAAGCTGTCAAGAATGATCCACCAGAGAACAAGAGTCTGAAGAAGAATCAAAGCCTTTATCTCTCTGTAAGCCAACTTCGGCTCTGGACAGCATGGTCCGTGGTCACCATCAAGACTGGATTTTTCTAGACTCTCGGTGGCCTGGGAGGAGATCTGAGGAGGCATCTTGGAGGCTGAACCCTCCTCATGGTCCTCTCTGACCTTCCCTGCACTTCTGAAATCTGCTAAATAGACCCTGGCCCTGCCTCACATCTGATACTGACCTGTCAGGCCAAAAAAAAAAGCCCCTCTGCCCAGAGCTGATCCAGCCCCCTCCCTAAAAGTCCCCCCTTTTCCCATCAGCCCACCAGAAGTGTAGCTTATACCCTTCAGTGTGTAGATAATGTTGCCTCCTAGAAGCCACTGGAGGTAACAAGCTGGTGGAAGGTGCTTAGGCAGGTGGTGCCTTCCCCTGGGAGAAGTCAGCCTCCCTGCCCCTCATAAACCGCACTGCCTGCTTCTTCGGTCCCTGCCCCCACCAAGTACATCTCAGCACACAATTCTAGGGACAAACTGTGGAGCAGAAAAAATAATAATAAATAAAAGAGGGATAATAGGAGGCCAAAGGAGCACTGACCGTGTCCGGCAGGTCCTCAGACAGTGCAGGCTGCTGCCCCCCTAAACTCACTGGCCAGTGGAGGGGCACAGTGGGGCCTTACAGCCATGCCCACTGGGCTCCGACTGTGCCCTTCAGTCCACCGTGCTGGGTGCCATGGGCTTTTAAAGTCAGCTTGAGGTGCCCACACGCTGCCCACTGAACCCAGAAACTACCAGGCCCCACGTGGGTGAAGGAAGGCCTGGAATGACGGGCTTCACTGAAGCTAATGAAGGGAGACGCCAGGCCGTGCCCAGCCCCCAACCGCTCAGCGAACATTAGTATCCTCCCCGCATCCCCATCTGCCTTTTTCTTCCAACCTAAGCACAAAGCTGTGGCTCTGAAGCCCTCGGAGAAGACCCTAGTGGGAGAGGCAAGCCCCTCTGTGGGTTCCCTTAGCAGCTGCTTGAACTCCCACCCCACCCCCACCCTCCAACCCTGAGTTGCCCTGGCGGATAGGCTAAATAAAGGCTGCCCATCCCCAGGACCCAGCTCTCAAGTGAACAGATGCCAACCTAGTCTTCATGTAGACCACAAATAACCTAGAACATCATCTGCCCTGGAATTGGCTCCATCCTTCTTTACTGAAGCAACGTGGTTACGGCTCAGGGGGGCAGACTGAAAAAGACAGGTCAAGGGGAGCCTCGTAACCGGAGCCCTGGGAACCACAGACTGATTTGCTTCTGCTCGGCAGGGCAGCGCAGACCCCTCTGGGTGTTTGCACCACTGTCTCCGTTTAGTGCCTCCTTTCAGGATGTTTTGGCTGTTTCCAAGGGAAGGGTGAGCAGGCCGATGGGTGGGAGAGTCTGAGGCTTGGTGCCAATTAATACTGTGAAGTGGAGCATGTCGTTGGTCGAATTCAGAGGGAAAGGAAGGGTTGGTTGTCTCCTGGACTGTCTTTGCATTCTGGCCTTAATGGTGGCAAGTGGCTGGCGGGCTGCAGGAGCCAGAAGACTCAACCCGCCCAGACACCAGACTGTGGGATGTAAGGAAGGCAAGGAAAGATCAGCCCAGCTGCTAACAGGCAGATTTCCCTCAACCGGATCTCCGGAATTGCAGACACTCATTTTTGAACAAGCTCGTGGTGGAGGATTTGGGTTGTGTGAGTGTGTGTGAGTGAGTGGAGCAGACTTTCTTGGAAACTGGAGGAAGGAGATGAGGAGGCTTAAGGAACTATTGCTGATGGGCTGTGGTTGATGAAACGTGGTGGGTTGACGGGTCGGCCCCAGCTTTCATCCCGGGTTCTCTGGTGCTGGGGGCGGGGTGGGATGTGGGGCTCTCCATGGCCTGTTAGGTAGCTGCGGGGACAGAGAACAGAAGAGAAAAACAAGGTGCCCTCCAGCAGCAGAGAGGCCAGGGCTCCTTCTGCGGGTCGCAGAACTCGCCTGGCGCTGCTCAACACCAGCCAAAGCCATTCTGCCATGAAATATTCCAGCCCCGGGGACCCCAGTTGCTTCTTGCCCCTTCTCTGTGTTTTCTTTCTGGTGTGTCTTAGAGATTTCAGATGGGGAAGCCTCAGAGCTGAGCAAGCCAGAGCTGTCCTAACCAAATTGGAAAGGAAGGTGAAAGTGTCCTTTCTTTAGCCAAAGACCCTCTCCTCAAAGACACCCCCAGATGTGGACAGAATGGCATTCCTCTCTCCTTCCTCTCCCGGCAATAATGACTCTGTCAGTGATGCAATCCCGTTTATGTCCTCTTGCTTTCTGTTGCCTGACTTGCTTCGGGTTTTTTGTTTTTGCCTTTATTTTAAAACTGTGCTCATCTTGTAAGTGGAGAGGAGGTTTGTAACCCCCAAATGCTGCTGCTGTCAGGAAACTGGAGGTACCGCATGGATCTGTGGGTGGAACTCACCCCGAGTTACCTCGGGTATCGGCTGGAGCAGACCAGCCAGGAGGTGCGGCTCTATCTGGGTCAGGTACACGCCAGGGCCAGGCTCAGAGGGTCAGTATTTTCCCACTTCAATGCCTTAGGACTCTCACTTCTGAGTTCCACAGACGGGACTCAGTGAAGAGTTGGAGATGGCAAACTGATATTTAAAGGCAGTAGAAACCCCTTGAAGGCTTTTGGCACCCTCGCTCACTCGAGCAACCCAACCTAGGAGAGGTTTTTCCCATCCTCTGCCAGCTCCCAGAAGTCCAAGAGAGCCAGCTCTGAACCAGTTCTTCATTTGAGACTCAGTGAGAATCTTCAGAGAAGCGACCCTTCTGTGGGGCATGCTTTCTCAGGGTACCTCTGCCAGAAGGGAGCTTCCTGATGCCCCAGCTTGAGTCCCAGGAACCTCTGCGAGCCCCTAATTGCACTCTCATTGCATTAGAATTTCACGTTGACTGTCTCTCTGTTAAGACTTGCCATGTCCCTCGAGTAGGAGCCAACATTTGTTGAATGCTTTCAATACACCAGGCTCATCCCAAGCCCTTAGTGAGCACGGCCTCCCGGTACCCTCAGGCCCACCCCCATTCACAACACCCCTCTCCCCCATTTACAGAGGAGGGAGTTGATGAGACAGTCGACTCTCTGAGAAAGTAGGCTGTGTTAAGGAAAGGAAATACAAGGATTTGGGGGTGGCCCCAAATCCCCAAGCTTCTAGTGAAATTTTGTGTTCTTAAGACCTTTACTAACTGAATTTGTTTCACTTGTTAAATAATCATCAGTGAGTGGCCTCATGTTTCTGGTGAATCATCTAATGATGCTCCCATTGACTGTGTGCCAGACACTGTGCTGGAAGTCGCTCCTGTTTATCCCATTTCATTTCATCTTCGTAACAGCCCTATGAAATTGGGAGTACTAGTCTCTTTACAGATGAGGCAGATGGCTTGGTGAACTGGTAACCAGCCCAGAGTCACACAAGCCAGTTGGGGAGGACGGGCGTGACTTGGGTTGCCCAGCTCACAGACGCCAGCCTCAGCTGTCTCCTGGGCGTGTGTGCAAAGAAGGGCCTCAAAGGAGCGTTGCCCCGCACCACCACCCTGCGCGTGGAGCTCAGCAGAAGGTCTGTGGGTAGAGGGAATCCTGAATCTGATCCAGGCAGCAAGGGCAGAATTAGTTTGACTTTTAGAGAAAATCTTAGGGGAGTTTCTCTTGATTAATCATAGTAGAGTTCATTTTTTATTCCTTTTCAGTGTACCAACTAGCTTTAGTAGTGCTGCTGCTACAACAAACTCTTATAAGAGTGAAGAAAAAAAAAGTGTTCTTTTTCTTCTTTTAAAAAAATATTTTTTTCTTGCTTATAGTTAATTCTAGAAAGGCAATACTAAAAGTATATATTTTTTTCAAAATACTATTTTTTACTGCACTGATAAATATCATAACGACTCTGGTCTCTGTAATCGATCCACTCTTCAGCTCTGGGTAGAACCAAAGGCAGGATTCACACCAAATTTGTAAATATCATGTGTGAGTCTGGTGTCCAGGAACTGTTTTTTCTTTGTGTTTAAAAAATTTTTTAAAAAGGAAAAAAAAAAAGAAGAGAGACAAGATCAAGATGATGTTTAGAAAGAGTAACAAAATTAAGTTTTCTTTCAAGATAGCCTTCTCAAAGAAATGGGAAGCAACCGTTGTGGAAACTGAAGAAAAATTAGCCAACTTTCAGGATACAGGGAAGGAGAGCCTCTGGCTGAGGTGGGAGATTAACAGTAACATAGAAGCATGTTTCCTTTGGCTGGAAGGTGGCAAGAATTTAGCAATGCTTTAGGACTAGATTTTTAATTTTGTGGAAAACCATTACCATTTGTTACAAAATATCTCTGCAGTTGTTTGGAATGGGGTTTTCAGTTTTGTTTTGTTTTTTTTCCTTTAAAAACTTCCTTATTGACTGGCTCCAGGCATGTTTGCCTAAATCCTTAGGTAGTTTACACAAGTTCTAGAGTGTTCTAGAGCTTTAATTCCATTGGAAGCAACCCAGCTAATCAGAATTTGAGATCCTGGTTGGTTTGAATAGGTATTCTGGAATTCTGACAGAACACCTGAAGACTTTTTATTTTTTTTTTTAAAGAAGGTTTTAGATACGTTACCTTACATAAACTGTGACCTGATGGCAATAATTACCTCAAATGTGGGCATTCATCCTGGTTTTAGCCTTTTTTGAAATCATGTAGCCAGCTTGCTCTTGGAATTTAAAAGACTATGAACTCCGTGTGGGCTGAAAATAACCATTACTGCACACCTTGGTCATTGTTTCTTAAGTGAACTCTGAAAATAGGTAATCTTTACAACAGAAATTAAACCAAGAGAGAGAGTATTCTTTGTGTTTTGTTATCAAATGTGATTTTCAAATGCACATGTTTAAGTATATATGTTTTTAGCTACTGTAAAATGCTGTTAGCCTTCTAAGATATCAAGAGAGTCACGTTTTAAATGCATAAATTATAAACAATTGACTGTGGATAACTAAACATAGTTCTGGCCACATTTTATAGTTAAAGTATTTTATAGTTTACATTTAAAATGGTACTTTTAAAAGAAAATTTCTGTTTATAACTACATCTTCAGACCCCAGCAATTGCCTCTTCAGTTGGAGGCCACATTCCCCCAAGGCAGGTGTGTTCTGCCCCTACTGTAGCCGACCATGAGCATGTCCATCCGTAGTGCTGGTTTACATGGGAACTTGAGAGAATGAGCAGGAAGAGGTGAGTCCACAGCCTGGGCCGGGTGCAAAGATCTACCACGTGGTATGCACACTGGTGGTCAAGGCCTTCTCTTTGACATCTTGAAAGAGGCAGAGAGAATAGATATCTGGTTCATTAATTTTGTCTTGATTTGAATGTTTAATTTATTAATCAACCCACTGACTTCCAGGCACCAGGCAGTAGAAGACACTGGGATTCAGGTGGCCCCGAAGGTACAGCTGCTATTTCTGGGGGCCCAGCAATACTCTGATTGGTGTTTTGCAGGGGAGAGTCATACATCCCCATCCCTATTTTTACTGGTTGGGTTTTCCATATATCTGCTGTCATTTATTCCTTTTGTCCTTTAAAACAAAGTAAGTGTAAAAGGATATGTTTACTTTTTACTCTTTGTCAAACTTATGTTTGAAGCCTAGGTCATTAGGAGGTGGGATCTAGATTTTTTTTTTTTTTAACAGCTCAGAGTTTTATTGAGTAAACAGAGGGTAGGTAGTACATCCTCCAGGCGTGAGGGCAGGCCGACCCCAAAGGAGAGGGCTAGACTTTTTTTTTCTAGAGATTGTAAGTGCTGCTGAGCAGGAGGAAGGGACTGGAGACTGAGGGGCAGCTAGCGGGTAAGATGATGAGATCTATCCAAGTAGAGGTCACAATTGAGAGCGCCCATTGCCATGCAAAAGCAGCCTGGAGGGCACTGGTTGCCCTAAGTGTTTTGGTTCATTTCTTCTTTTGTGCCACAACCTTAGCATAGAGGACCTGCTGTGATCTGAAGGGCATTCCTTTAGCAAATAACACCTTAAAAACTGCAAAACACCTGGGACCAGGGAACTGGTGGTGGTTCTTAATGCACTTGCTTTTTCCCTGTGAACTCTGTTGATAGCACGTTCTTATCACAGTATTTGGTTGGAAATGTCACTGTAAAATATTTTTTGTCTTGCCCCTCATAATTCAACTATCACTTTCCTCTGTTTGGTTTTCTCCCTGTGATTTAAATAGCCAAATATATTTTATGTCATTGTCTTTGGGGCTTAATCATAGTTTTTAAAAAACAGAGGAATAGAAATTGGCTTTTTTTTTTTTAAGTAAATATGATGTACCTGAAAAAAGGGCTCTGCCTTCTCTCTCCTTTCCTTTCAGCCAGCCTCCCAGCACCCTTGCCCCCTTCTTGTGTTGGGTCACTACTCCCCCCACCACCCCCACACATGGCCACCTTGGCCTCCGCCCTGCTGTCCCCACAGCCCCATCCATGCCCAGGCACCCAGGACTCCCAGGAAGCTCTCAAGAGCCAGGAAGAAGGACCCACCCAGCCTTGCCAGTGGTGGTCTTGCCTCCCTGTTAGATATTCGCCTGCTTGGTTGAGGGGCAGTGGATTTATTTTTGTTATTATTTTAATAGTTTGGCTCAGGTTATAAGGAAGAACTTGGGAAATGGAAAGTGACTTGACCATGCCCATCCTTCGTAGCTTTCTGTGACTTCTGAATGGAACCTAAAGCGTGCCCCACCCCAGCTCCCTCTCCTCCCTTCCGGCAGATACTCCTGCAGACCGCCTCCGCGGCACGTGGTTTCTCCCTGCGGTCTCATTCTTCCTGTCACTTTCCACCCTTTCACCGTTGCGTTTCTGCTCCTATAAAGCTTTCTCCCATGGCTTTTCCAGGGCACAATCATTTCTGGCCCCCAAAGCACCTCCTCATCCTCTTTGTGTGCGTTTCTTTAACCAAATGAAGTAGACCCGGAAGTCATACTTTGGGGCGGTAGGATTTCTAGTCTAGGAGAATCACTGTATAGATAATAGATGTTGATATATATGTGTGTGTATATATATATCAAACCAAATTTCGGATAGGAAAAGTATAGCTTTATGGATGAGGAAGGAGAGGAGCTTTTGGAAGCTGGTTGGTATATCAGAGGAGCCGGGGATGGCCCAGGCTGCACCATCGCACGTGGACTGGAAAAGCAGGATGCGGGGGACCCGGGCACCACCTCGGGCTGCAGTGGAGGCAGGTGGCCCCGAAGGGTACTGCTGCTCTCTCTGGGTCCCCAGTGACAGGGAAGAGATGAGTGTTGGGGGAGGGGGGAGGGGGGCGGGTACAACACATCAGAATGACTGGAATTTTCCATCCCGTTTTGCTTTGACCACATGTATTGAGCTGCAGCCTCTGATATTATATCCCGTTTCCAAAAATGGTATCCATTAGGATGGAAAGAGAAGGCATCTGTAGAAATGTTTACCTTTCAACTGCCCACACATCAGGACACTCTGGATAGAAAGACTCACTCCCCAGAAAGAGAGCAGGGA